TCTGTGTACAAATGCATCTGGACTGAGTATGGAAGCTTGCATAATAAAACATATATTTTTGGCACAAAATGTGCCAATCAGCATGAGAGAATTCACAACCACTAACTAATAAATAATCATGAATCTGACTTCATTGTCACTTCCAATTGCTTACAACCCAGCGGACATCATTTTGCCAGGATCACTTGTCAATAGTTGTTTCTTTGACATCTTATAAGTTTATGCATGTATCATAAGCTTGTGTTACACTGATAGTATCCAGCCACCCTGTCTTCTGTTGGCCTCTGGTTTGCCTTCTCTTTGTCCAGATATCAGAGTCTTTTGCCCTCATGTTACATGCTCCTGTCAATCGGATTACTTCTGCCTTCATGTTATATGTCTAAAATCTCTAAGCTTTAGCTTCATCATTTGTGCTTCCTGTGGATAGCTTGGTTTTATTTCATCTAGTATTGAATGTTATGTTCTTGCAATCCAAAATGTTTTCAATCACTTTTGTCAGCACCATAAATCAAAGGCATGAATATTTCTGATAATTCAGATTTCACAATCACGTTACAGTTCAGAAAACAAAAGAGTGATTTCTCTGCACCATAACTAGATTTCTCAGTTTCTGCTCATAGTTACTATTCTGTGAATTTTGGGGGCCTAGGGAAATAGTCTGTCACTACTTCAAAATCTTAATAATAATAGAAAGCAAAGGTAGTCTCAATAGTTATAGGTGCCTCGAGTGCAATCTCAGAAAAACTGGAGTATCACTTGAACATCATCAGCATTGACAAAATCACCATCTATCAATTGCAAAAGGCAGCTTTACTTGAAACAGCTTACATATTTCAACAGTACTTTTAACACCATGAAACAAAAATGTTCGTGAACAACAACATTGATGAGACAACAATTATGTTTTATGACAGTACCTTTAATACTATTAAACAACATCTGCTTATCCCTTGGGAAGAGCTCAAAAGGTTGATAAAAATACCAAATCTAGTCTAAACAACTATGTGTATGCAACCAATCATCATCATCATCATAAAATATAAAGACCTGCAAATAGAAGTAGAATGACTATGACAAAAAAAGCAATGATAGTACCAATAGTAACAGGCATCTTGGGTGCAATTCCAAAACATGTGAAACTTGATTTCCACTGGCATTGGCAAAATTACCACGAGTCAATTGCAAAAGATAACTTTACAGTACTTGGAATAGTTTATATTCTGCAACAATGCCGTTACTATTATCAAACAACATCTGCTTATCCCAGGTCCTTGGAAGGGCCAGATAAATAGACAAAAATGCCAAATGTAGCCTAAACATCTGGCTATTCAACCATAACAATTATATTAGCATTTACTGGTCTTTTTTCAACAAGTTTATCTCCCCTGTAAAATTGTACCACTATCATTGCGGCTTTCCCTTTCTAATAGCTAATCACAACTCTTTGGCAAACTGAAGGAGAGTGCTATTTCACTAGAAAAGCAGAGATGCAAGAAAGGTTTACAATAGTAAGGTAAACTCTATGTATCCATGTATTTTCCCCCCAACAGCTATAATAAAACAATCATTAGGCACGTTCCTGAATATGTCCTTTTATGACAGATCATACCATTGTATCGAAGGGTTGGGTAGTAATGAAACTCTAGAATAGCTAGATTTTTAAAAATATGAGGGCTGTATTTTGATATAGTCCTACCCTAGGCATCTTCCAATATAACCAAGAGGGCTCCTCTTTGCATTTGAGTTTCAGGTTGGATTTGTTTTTTTCCCAGCCAGGTCTCTAGACAAACTTTATAATTTTGCTGACTGCTCTGGCCTGCATCTCATCTTTGCACTAAATGCTTTGCGTCGGAATCCCAACAATTCCTGGAACAGCTCCAATGCTCTCAGCCTGCTCAAGTACAGTGCCAGCAAGAAGTACAATATCTCCTGGGAGCTGGGCAATGGTAAGTGAACTTTAAAGATGGGGATTTGGAGAAGAGAAGGGAATGGGAGGACCAAAGAAGCCCTATTTTGGAACTTTTCTCAATAAAGCATTGCTGTATGGAATGTTAGTGCAACTCATCCCTACAGGGATCCAAATAGAACAAATGAATTGAATAAAGATAGGCACCTGTTAGTGCAATAAATGTGAGGCCAAGTATATAAGCATAAGTGAGAACATTTACAAGTACCTAGGGATAAATATATTTACAGTGTGATCTTATATCACTGTATCCAGAATTGAGTCAATTAAATTCATTCCAATAGATCAGTGATGGCGAACCTTTTAGAGACCGAGTGCCCAAACTGCAACCCAAAACCCACTTATGCATCGTCGAGTGCCAGGTGGGTGTGGCCCATTGGGTGGGTGTGGCCCATTGAGTGGGCATGGCTGCGGTAGTAACGGCAGACTGGGTGGGACTAAAAAGTTCAATCAATCAATTCCAACTTTGCAAGATCTCTTTTTTTCCTGCGAGAAGTTGAAATTGACTGATTGAACCTTTTTTTTTTTGCACACGGCGGTGGAGGTCTAAAACGAAAAGGTTTTATAAAACCCAGCTGAAGGCCTAGGACTGGGGCGACGGCAAGCGTGCCCACAGAGAGGGCTCTGAGTGCCGCCTCTGGCACCCATGTCATAGGTTCGCCACCACTGCAATAGATAGATGACTAACTTACAATCACAATGGGGACTGGAATTTCCATCATAAATCAGTGAGATCATAAAGTGAGTCATCATGTGATGAAACCTGGTTTTACAACCATTTTTGCTGTGGTTGTTAAGTGAATCACCCCTGTCAATAAGTGAATCCAGCTTCCCCAATTGACTTTGCTTATCAGAAACTAGCTGAGAAGATCGCAAACCATGATAATGTAACTGCAAAATGCTTCAACCGTTTGTAAATGTATACCAGTTGCCAGGCATCTAAATTGAGGCCATGTGACCATACGGGTAGTGCAAGAATAATAACTTTGAGAATGAGTATAAGTCACTTTTTCCAAGGATGTTGTAACTTCAAACCACTGTTAAGTCAAGGACTACATGTAATGCCTCCAGACTAGTGAAGATTTATTAGGTGAATTGTCAGGATGTTGTCAAGGTTGGTTAATGTTTTTTTCTGTTTTCTTATAGAACCAAATAATTACCGAACCCTCACAGGACGAGCAGTGAATGGCACTCAGTTGGGGAAGGACTACATGCAGCTGAAGAGACTGCTACAGTTAATCCGCACCTACTCCCGAGCCAGTCTGTATGGGCCCAATATTGGGAGACCTAAGAAAAATGTTGTCACCCTCTTGGATGGGTAAGTGATCATGGCAAACAATGCAGAAAGCTAGAAAATAACTATTAAATATCTATTCACCTTATTATGATTCTCTTTGTATTGTGAGATATAATCTATACTGGTTCCCCCCAGCCTAGGAAGCCATATCTATCTTCAGAATTACTATGTAATCCCTTATTTCATATAATAGAGAACCCATGAATTTCTTATTGTAAGCTAAGAGAATAATGCACAGCCTAGTTAAGAGCTCCATGACCATCAGATGCAAGAGACCAGAACCGTTCCAAGACATCTTATTGCCAAATGTGAGGGGACTGGCAACCAGTCATGCTTTTCCCCATTGGCCAACTATTTCTCACCCATCCTGAAGTAGGAAACTACATTGACATAACATTTGGTGACCTTATTGCCAGTTCCTATCCTGCATCTATTACTTCTGTTAAAGCTTTCTCGTGTTGAGGCATGTTAAGCATAGTGATTGCTTAATTTTTCTGGCTTTGATGTCCTGTGTCTTTCTGAACATTACAGGTGACAGGAAATAATTCACCAGTCAAAACACTGATATAATTTGGGGCAAGTATAGGAAAATTCTGAATTCTGACTGACTAGTCTCTCCTTTGCTACTGTGTGGTGAAGCAGGAGAAAGCAGGCCTCACAAACTGTTCTACATGCTGATCTGAACTATCACAGGCTATGCCCCACTGATCTATTCCCTCCAGGGGACACTAGACAANTACTCTTTCAACTTCTGTGGTTGTTCTGAGTGACCAATTTCACTACCAATTTGAGAGTTGAAATAAGTTCAGTAATCATTCCTCAAGAAACTCAGGGAGCTATGATACTACCATATATTCTATGACCTTGGCCCCAAAGAGAATTCATCCAGCCTGTTGAATCTAAAGTAGTCTTTTAGTATTATCCTTTTAGCATTAGAAATTTTAAATTGATATTTTGTGATCCCTTGGGCATTGCTATTTTTGCCATATCTGCTTATAAACCACATGTTAAGATGACAGCAAACACCTGAACTAGGGTTTCCTAATAGTATCTAAATAGGAATATGATATCTTTTCTTGTAATAGGAGTAAATGATTCATTATGTCCCTTCTAGTTTTATAGTAATAATAATAATAATAATAATAATAATAATAATAATAATAATAATAATAATAATTATTATTATTATTATTATTATTATTATTATTATTATTATTATTATTATTATTATTATTATTATTATTATTATTATTATTATTATTATTATTGAGTTGGAAGGGACCTGCTCAGGTAGGAAACCCTATATCATTTCAGACAGACTGACTACAAGCAGCGGCATGACAAAGTAGCAACAATGGTGCATTGGAAGATCTACAAGAAATATCATTTGCCTGTAAGCAAGAACTGGTGGGATCATAAAATAGAGAAAGTCATAGAAAATGATAAAATGAAACTGCTCTGGGACTTCAGAATTCAAACAGACAAGCACCTGCAACATAACACCCCGGACTTAACAGTTGTCGATAAGAAAGACAAAAAAGTCTGGATAGTGGACGTAGCAGTGCCTGGAGACAGCAGAATGGACGAGAAAGAACTGGAGAAGATAACAAAATACAAAGACCTATAAATAGAAATAGAAAGACTGTGGCAAAAGCAAGCAAGGGTAGTACCAATAGTAATAGGCGCCTTGGGTGCAATCCCAAAACAACTGGAGCACCTCTTGAACACCATTGGCATTGACAAATTTGCCATTAGTCAATTGCAAAAGGCGGCCTTACTAGGAACTGCTTCCATCCTGCGACGATATCTGTAATAACATCAAACATCCACATCTGCCTATCCCAGGTCCTTGGGAAGGACTCGATAGGTAGACAAAATGCCAAATCCAGTCTGAACATCTGGCTGACTGTGCGATGATTCATAATAATAATAATAATAATAATAATAATAATAATAATAATAATAACAACAACAACAACAACAACAACAGCAATAATAATAATAATAATAATAATAATAATAATAATAATAATAATAGAGTTGGAAGGGACCTGCTCAGGTAGGAAACCCTATATCATTTCAGACAAATGGTTGTCCAGTCATATATGGACAAATATATGATGTATGTTTTAACAACTAGATCTAAAAGAAAGGAGAACTGCTAGTTTCTGAATCAAAGCTGATCCTGTGTACTGTACCATATCACAGAGCTGAAGGAAGGAATTATGAGATGATTGAGCATTCAATGAGCCCTAGTGGCACAGTGGTTAGAATGCAGTACTGCAGGCTACTTTTGCTGACTGCCGGCTGACTGCAGTTTGGTAGTTCAATTCCGAATAGCTCAAGGTTGACTCAGCCTTCCATCCTTCCGAGGTTGGTAAAATGAGGGCCCAGATTGTTGGGGGCAATATGCTGATTCTGTAAACCACTTAGAGAGGGCTGTAAAGCACTATGGTGTATAAGTCTATGTGCTATTGCTATTGCTATTGCTATTCCCTCTCTCACTTTCTCATTGATTTGGCATAGGTGTAAGATGTTCCTGTAAAAATTTTCTGGGCTATGGTTAAAGGTCTTATACCTGCTATAATCAATACTATTACTTTTCCTGCTCTTTGTTTTTAATCCTGTCTCATATTGCTTCTTGGCCATAGTGTTCCTTTCCATATAGTTTGGTTAAATTCTACAGCCTAAAAAACTTTTTTTGCTATCTGCTGTTATAAATTATTAAAGTAAGGTTTTCCCATAAAAGTATAAATACTTAACTGTCTGAATTTAGGATTTTTTTTCAAATAGATACATATTTTAAAAACTAAACTCTTCTGTTGAGTATGGCTAAATTATGACTGTGAGAACAAGATTTTATCTTTTATTTATTATTAAATACATGTGTACCATCTTGCATCCAAGGTGACTCTGGGCGGCTTACAGTGCAGTAAAAATACAAAAACAGTTACAAATACAAAAACAATTTAAAGTTCCAAGAGTTTATATGGGCTAACAAAACCAAGAGCTCCAGTAGAGTGAGGGTGATGCGTCCTTCTCTATCACTGCAGCAACCACCTCTATCAGAGCCCCAGGCCAACTGGCCGAGCCAGGTTTTAAGGTCCTTCTGAAAACCAGAAGGGTAAAGGCAGATCTCACATTTATTATAAAATAACAAAGGGTAACTTTTTAACACTTAGATTAGCTTAATGTAATCTTGACATTCTTGCTGTTCCAATAATTATTCCTAGCTGCGGTGACAAAATGCAGAAGAAAATAAGAGTTCTCATATTGTCAATAACTTATGTAGGAGAGAAAAATTACAGGAGACATGTCTTCATTTACAGCCAAAGCAAATACAGTATAAAAAGCCAACTCTCTGACATGCAGCCAAGAAAAGTTAAAAAAAAAAAAGTATAGGCAGTCCTCTTTTAATAACTGCCTTGTTTAGTGATGGTTCACAGTTACAATGGTGATAACAGAGTAACTTTACCACCAATTCTCACATTTACATTTGCAGGTCTGTAAAGCAAAGGAAAATTGAAGTAAGATCATAAGCATAATTGCAGTTTCACTTAGTGAACACTTCACTAATCACCAAGTTGCCATTCCTAATTATGATCACTAAAAGAGAAGTACACATAATTAGTTTTTTCCCTCCACAATATCTTCTGTTTGATGGACAGAATGTTTTTCTTTTATTTTGCTTTATTTGCCTCCAGACTTTGAAATATACATTGTTTTCCGCTATTAGGGCATTTTAGGGAAACAGCAACCAGAGGTCAAGATAAGAAAAATTGGGCACAGAGTTTGTGAAAATAAGCTCCAAGATGTTGCCTGCAAAACAGAAATGACTGTTTTCAACCACTAATAATTCTGATTTCTTGAAGAATTGTAGTCATATTTCAATTTATACTAATAAAGACTAACTGATGCAGTTAGTTTTCTTGCCCATTATATTGATATGTATCTAAACCATGAAAGGAATCCATTTATTTCACCTCAAAGATTATGAAAAAGGAGAAGAAGAAAGGTTACATGCTACAGAAAAAGTACATTAGTGTACTTCATTTAAAAAAGGGATCTAGTGAATATGTATCTTTTTTATGTCTAAACATACCCAACAGGCTTAAAAACCTGAAGTGTGTCTGAATAATGGTGAGTAAAGGTATACTCTAAAAAGGACTGGCTATGCTCTGTGCCTTATTAGAGTGACACTGGCTTCAACTATGTATTTTGTTTATGATAAAAATTGAACACTGTATTTTCACTTCTAAGCAGTTTGTTCACTTTGATTTGCAAAGTAAAGTTTGTGCAATTGAATAACTAGTAGTTCCTGCATATCCTTTTTTTTTGGGGGGGGGGGAGATTTCAAAATTTGAAAAACTGCTAAGGTGCTTCAAAGAGCCAAAGTAGTATATACAATATTAGAAGATAACAACCAATCAGTACAGCACAACTTTGGATTCAGTTGCATGCTAACAGAAATGGTTTCATATAGCTCAAATCTGACAGTGCTGGAAAGTATGCTTGTAAAGTACAAATGTATCTGTATGTGGGTGTGGGTGTAAACCCAATAAGGAGGCCTATTAAAGTTGCATTTGTGTATGTAATTTTTTACTGGGTCAAATTTCATTGTATCTAGATAATTTCTTTACCTATCCTGCTTTATTTTTGGTTTCAGTTGGAACACTTGCACTTAAATAAAAATATAAACTAGGTTTTGTGGCTGAGAATTTTAAACATGAACAGGTTCCACATTTTAGAAGGCAATGGAAGATTTTGGGTCCATAAACCTTCCCGCCATCACAACACTCATGCACTCTTTGAGATGAGATGTGTTCCAGATTTTTCTCCTTACTTTCTTGTTCTTGTTCTGGTTTTTGTCTTGTTTTTGTTATTGTGGTTAGATGGTACCCATTTCCTTAATGGTTAAAAAGTTTTTGTGTATGCTGTATACAAATACACAAATTACACAAACACACACATACACAAACACACACATACCAGAGGACTGGAAAAGAGCTGATGTAGTTCCC